CCCCATGCCCTGTCCCTCACTCCCCTCTAATGCCACTCATGTTCTCGTCACTGTCTTTCCTTGAATATTATTATTATTATTATTATTATTATTATTATTATTAAATTCCAAAGGTGAGCATATAATGCCTAGGCGAATTGCCACCTTTATTTATATTTAACCCTCTTGAGAATAAAGATGTTTAAAAAAAAAATTGCTTTTCAAGATATTTTGTTTATTTACGTTAAGTCTGCCCCAATGCAAAAAAATAGCAATGTACGAGCATACAACCTGCTTGCATGCATTTTAGGCCTTAGGCAGTTGTCCCCAAGCATTTTCAAGGGATACTGTTACGAAAGTGACTGAGCTCATCAAAAACGAGTTTACAGATCGCAATTCTGAGAAGGGTTAGATATGGTAGCCTATAGGCCTACTGTGGTGGTTAAGATGTTACGCTCAGTGTGTGCCATTAAATGATAAAAGACCTACAGTAGGCCTATGTATGTAGTTATACCGTTCGAAAATAAAGTAAAACATTAATTTAGTCTGCCAGCGTTCCCAATAGTCTTATTGTTAATAAAACAGATAAACATACAATTTGCTGAGACTGTTATTTGACCAGTGAGTGAGTAAGTCGTAAATGCACGTTGAACGTTTCATGACGTTATTTGCCCGTTTCATTGTATGACGTCATTAATGACGCAGCTTCCTCCTGCTGCCGACTTTGACTTCATTTACAGTTAGATATATCGATATTATCAATATGGCTCTCTCTCCAACTACCTACGCAGCAAAAGACAACGATTCCGGAGTCTCGACAAAACTGAATACGACATTTACCATCACAGATGAGGAATCCTTGACTGGCAGCTATGAACAAAGTGAAGGAAATGTTCATCTTTCGGAACTAGATGTAACAAATCCGTCTATTGTATCCATCGCTGAAAAATCTGAATTCGAAAATGTTGAAAAGAGTAAAATAACCAAAGAAGAAGAGGGTCTGCCTTTTTCTCCTACAGGAATGGTGAGTTTGTGTGAAGTAACGACAAAATCGCTGCAGGATGAAGCGTCGCTAATAGACAGACCTGAGGAAGAGGGTAAAGATAAGGACCAAAGTGTGCAAAATGTGCAAACTGAAAAATTATTCAAAAAAGAAGTTGATGGTAATGAAGACAATGGTGAGGAGAACAGTGATGTTAACGACGACTGCAAGGTACGCACGGGTGATGTTCAATCAATAAACAACATAAATGGACCGATCGAGGAGGAAGTAGAAACAGGCATTAGGAATGAAAGTGCAGTTAAAAATGGAGAACTCAGTGCCAGTGTTGGGCAAAACGGTTCTTTGATTTTAAAAAGAAATAAAGATAAAATGAACACAAAAGAAATCGAAAAAAGTAACGAAGAACTTCATCCCCAAGACAACAATTTGGTCGACGAGGATACAATAGCAAATCGGCAATTTGAGCAGCAAGAGGAGGATATCCTCAACCAAGCTGACAAAGAAAGTCAACAGATAATGAGTATAGATCACGTTCCTGACAATAACCAGGGCAATTCGGATAGTTGTTTTATTGCTTCCAGAGGTTTTACAGTTGTCAGTGCAACACCTAGTTTTTCAAATAATAATGGGCAACTCAGCCGAAAAGCAAACGTAGAAACTGCAGAATTTGATTTGTCTGAACCAAAAAGATACAAATCCGAGTTACGTGTTTGGTTGTTTGCTGCAAATGCAAGTAGCACTGTGGGCTTCACAACAGTTCAGTCGTCAACCCGTTGCCCACCGCGACATTCTATATCGAGCATACCAGTGCAGAAAGATCGAGAATACCCTAGTGATGTTAACAAATCGGCGTCCTCTGCAGTTGGAAAATACGCAAAAATCGAGGCAAAAGACAGTTGCAGCATACCAGATATATTAGAAGAAGATAAGAGTGTTGGCGACAAATTGGTTAAGCTTCCTGTTCGAAAGCGATCATCCAGTCTATCTGATTTGGATCGGTACAAGCGTTACTTCAAAAGAGTTGGCGAGCACAATATTGATAAGGTATTGCGGCAGTTCGCGAAAATCGAAATAAAAAATGCTCATCATTCTGGTAAAATAACCCAACGATCCTCTAAACCTCAAAGTACACGAAGAAAGAACCACTCTGCAATAACTAAAAAATGTATGAAAGCTGAGGAATATTGGGAGAACTATTTAGACTCAGAATCTGACTTGGACGAGATCCCCCCGCCACCACGCGCAATGAGTGCCTCCAGGTTCCCTGAATATCTTCGGCTGGTCGCGTGTACGCCACTCTCAGCTTCAAGCACGTGTACCCCATGGAAACACGTTCAGTTCCAGAGTAGTTCTACGCGTGAATCCTGCAATGACTTGACTTCGGTGACTAGCCTCTCGTCTTTGGAGTGGACACCAGTGGTGAAGACAGCCAGGAAGAAAAAGAAACATCGGAAACCAATGCAGAAAAGCAGTTATGTTTCTGAGCAGGTGTCAACTATAGAGAGACGTTTATCACTTGAACAGGATCAAATTACTGCTAGAAATGACGCTGAAGATCGCAAAAGAATTGATTCTGATGGTAAATATGCAAAACAGGCATTGAATTCCTTCAAAAAGAGAGCAGCAAAGAAATCAAAAGAGAAGGAAATTAGCATAAATTGTCAAAAATCTGCGGTTCGGTATGGAGGAGGCAGGCGTGAACCAGTGCCTTACTCATCGTCATTGACGGAGTGGTTTGATTACTTCGGAATGAAATATTAACTGCAACTACAAAAAATGTCCATATGCCTGCCTCTTTTTGGTGATAGGCCTATAAGGCAAACATGAATTATATAAATGTCGTTCTCAAAATCGGACAGGGCTGAATGCATCACCCTCTATTTTTCCTTTTCTTTCAATTCAAGCATGTGTTCGTCGCTTTAAGAGTGCAGTCAGATACATCTTTATCTGTCACATAACTTATGAGGCTTCATAGTGTATTAGGCTACGTGAAGGCCTACATGCATATGGCACAGATTAAATTTTGTAAATCAAAAAAAAAAATTATACATAGATTCTAAGAATATGATAGTAATAATAATAATAATAAAAATAATATTTTAAGGTCATTTTCATGCCACCCCCATGGCCGTTTCTTGACTCAAATAATCAACAACAATTTTGTAAGTATTGTTATTTTATAACAAATAACCAAACTTTTTATTAAAAATAGGGGGGGGGGGGGGATAACCGTGAATTTCGGAACCGATTCATTTAACCATTGGCAAGTACGGGGAAATTGTCGTTTACCCCAGAAATATCCATTTCTGACCAAAATGAACAGTTGTTTTTCGTTTAATGTCTTTTTGCGCCAGAAAGGTAGTGTTGAGAAAGTGGACCGTGTGTGTGTGTGTGTGTGTGTGTGTGTATGTGTATGTGTGTGAGAGAGAGAGAGCGTGCAGGGGTGGGGAATGCATGGGGCAGTGGAGGATGAGCCAATAAAGATAATTTGGAAGACTATCGGAAATATCTCTGAATCCGCCCCTGAACTATTCAGGAAAACACGCCAATGTCCCTTAATCATTAAGTATCAAGCATCTGAATAGATGATCGACTTTACGACATCGAGCCCACTTACGTTATGCGGCAGTAATCAGCGGCAGTGTATACGACTTGCATTATTCGTCTCGTTTTCGATATTGAGCGCAGTGCNCCATTGCTTATACCTGAGTAAAACTAAAACCAGGTTTAAACCTGACTGTGAAGGAGTATTGAATAGTATATTACTTATGCAAATAACAAAAAGGAGAACACTTTTACCAAATATCTCATTTTTATTATCACAATGCACTTGAACATATCTAGAAATGTTTAAAACATTGCATTTTAAAACATGAATCAGAAATATCGTAAGGTATCTTGGAAAGATATTTCCAAGGCAACATCATTGGTTTTATTATGCAAAATAAAATTATATTGTGAAACGAAATATTGAATTGTATTTATTAATAGGCAAATATTTAAAAAAAAAAAGAAAAAAAAACGGTTTGGGCATTCCCTTCAAGGACTTGATCCATTCTCCACTGTCTTGATTCAAACTTCAATCTGGTAGGCCTACTTCTAATTTTCTCTGCCGTCTGGATCCAATATTTTGTTTCTCTCTCTATCTTGACTGTACAGTTATTACCTATAAAACAAGTACAAAATAGTCATAAAAATAATTATTAAAGTCATAATCAACACATCTATAACAGTGATTTATTTACATACATACATATTAGACTGATGACAAAACAGAAAATTGACATGACTAGTCATTTTTTTAACCGAAATCTACCTGGATACACAACAGAAAGATAATTAAGAAGAACCAAATGATAGATGCACTGATATTGACAGTGAGCTTGTACTAATTATATATAATTACCTGTACAGTGCACTAGCACACCTCAGAGATTGTATCAGATAATTGCTTTAACCAGGTGACAAATTTATCTCCCCAATAAATGACTCAGGTGAACATAATTACAAAATGACCACATTAGGGTTTTGTATTTGGTCTTGTATTTAAGAAAATATCGTGTAACATACCTTTTTATCAGCTCTTCTTTTTTGCCTGATGTGTGGGCATCCCACATTTTAACCAACTTTTCAACTCCGGCACCGTTGTCGCCTCAAATGGCTTGTTTAATATCGCCCCCGACATGTCTTAAGCTTCCATCATGTGTTCCTATCGCTGTCAACAACACTTCCGGTACTATTTTGACCCCTGCAGTGCAAAATTCCGGTCATGCGCACATCGCACCTTTCGAATAATGCAAGTCGTATGTAGAGGTACCAACAGAGAGAAAATGACACTCGCCTAACGATAGCTTACCCTGGACCACCACTGTCCGTCCTAGTACATCATGGCCAGCAGGCTGATGAACGAAGCTCCCAAATGGGTAGTTTTGGTAAGTTTGTTTGTTTGTCGGATTTTCTCCAGTCTCTGTTGATCTGTGTTGATATATATAAATGAAGGCCACAACCTCACAAGTACAGCTACTGAGTAGGTACCACTACCGGTGCCGTACACTAGCTAGCACTAGTAGCAAGCAATATA